CCCGAGTTTTGATGTATGGAATTTGTTTTTTTGGGTCGTTGATTCCCAATTTGTGAGTCTTTTTTTGAAAAAATCGTGCGTTTTATTTGTTATCAACAATTTAATTGTTTCAACGATCATATCACGCTACCAGTTGCAAAAAGGGAAAAAAGTTTCGACATAATTGGGTATTCGCTGATAGTTCCGTTGCAAACAAACGAAAGAGACAAGTTTTCTAGGTTAAAAAAAAATTGAGTCATTTTAATTTAATTAAATTAATAATTTTTTTAATTAAAAAATTATTTTAAAAAAATTAACGAGGTCGTTTGCATGCAGGGAACCTTCAGAAAAAATGGAAAGTTGAAATGGAATGTTTGAATTTTATCCGTAAGGCATTTTGCTTTTTGTTTTATATATATAAGCTTTCCATTTATTATTATTTTTTAAAGAAAATCCGTTTTTCCGTGAGGGAAAACTTTCATAAATTTGTCGTTATTTATTCAACTACTTTTGTGTACTAGCCTCTCCTAAGTTAATATTGATTATTCTTAATCAAAAAACGTAGTCTTGGGCCTCTAAAAATTGTATTGGGATATCTATATCACTACAATACTACGACGGGCTTCGCGCCCGTCGCTAGATTATATTATATTATATTAATTTATTTTATTGTTTTCTTTCCAATTTTTCTTTACGATCAGACTAAATTAAATTCATTGGATTTTAATTCCATTGCAGTATACAAATTGTGGGAACAGTTTTTCTCATTTTCAAATGAAGAGATATTTATGTTAAATAATAAGGAAAGTATTGATACTTGTTTTGGGATGATGATCTATATATTTTTCACAATTACATCATTGTTCAAAAATTTCTTTATGTACTACATTTTTCATATAACTATTTCCATCTTTTTCATTTTTCATTCTACCTCCTTCATTTTTTTTAGATGCCGAAAAAATATCAATATGTTCCCTTTCTATGATCTAATTTCAATGGAAAAAAGTGAAAAAAAAACAGAGATAAGTGATCAGCAAGAAAATAAAAATTTCGATTTTTCAATGTCTCCGGAAAGTTTTAAAATTGATATATTTTTTCAATTAATGGAAGAATACCCATCAATTCAATTTCTATCCTCACATTTTGATAGAATACATTAAAAAATAGCAAAGAATAAAAATCGGAGATGAAAAATTTTATCGGATTAATATAATGTAATAATAATGGATATTCGATTTGCCCCGTGTGTGGGGTTTAGAGACGAGGGACCGTTCGCTGACGAACGAACGAAGTTCGCTCGCTCGTGTATGGCGGCCTTTACTCTCCGATATAGTCGGAGTTAGAGTGAAAATCGAGATGCGTCTTCCGCGTGCAACAGAATAAAGAATCAGTTATATTAAATTCACAGAGTTACTATCCCAATTCTACCCATAATTCCAATATGACAACACAAAATTTTTTGTCGTTCCGGCCGTCAGGCAGGGGTTCACGGACGTTCACATATGGGCGATTAGTATTTTTCGTCACTAGGCTGAAAAAAAACTCTTTTTGCTCATATAATTGCAGCCCTGAATTCTACCTCCTCGCTACTGTATCAAGAATCTTGAGATATTGAGACGAACAACAAAAAACAATCACAAAGATAATCTCCTTTCTTCTCTCTACTTCATCTCCATTTGCGCATTGTGCCTGATATTCCAGTAATTCCTCGTGAAAATGTTTCTCCATGCTTTGTGAAAAAATCCGTAGACCCATAAAAAGAAATAATACAGTCCTATTCATGCTAATGCATCATCGATCTGGCGATATAACGAGAATTTACATAAATTTACCAACTCGCTTGTGTACCTATGATGGATCACAGCTGTGACGTGCTTAGTTTGCACGAATTCGTTCGTTGTTTCGAAACCGAAATGCATTCAATAAAATCGCCGAATAGCATTTCTTTCTTTCAGGTGAAACTCGCACGGAACTTCATTTTTTTCCGTTAAAAGGGATTTGCGGCTGGTTATAAATATGTTTGTAACGTAAAATTATCACCAATTTGTATGAAGGGGTCAAGTTGAGGTAGTCGTGGATGGGAGAAAAAAAAACTAAATAAATAAAATTCTCACGGTGCTCTAACGAAGTAGAGCCTCGGGGGAGTGACATTGGCCGAGTCACGAGCCGGCAACGCCGCTAAGAATCCGCCAGCTTGTATTCCAGTTACACTACTTCACGCTTTACCCCAGGGCCGTAGCACTTTAAACTTTTTTATGCTTATTCATCAGGTATTAAAAGAAAAAAAGTTAATTTTGAAATGTGATCATTATGCGAAAAATTATTTCCTCGTTACAGCCGAGAGAAACAGGAAAAATATCCATGTCTCAGCATTAACTTCTCTTCCACCCACAATTTATCATTATCGTGATCATTATCAGGTGATTACACAATTACAAAAAAAAAACAAAATTGAATTTCTTAGTAAAGATGACGTTTCTTCACGAATGGTCACAGACCACTCGATTCATCGGATGATTCACTCAGAGTTCCTGTTGTACATTCTACTACCTTCAACCATCTCGGATGAATCAAGCGCTCCGAAAGCCCCCTTTCAACTTTCGAAAAACCTAAATGAACAAGACTGAGGGAAAAAAAACAGAAATTTTTGGGATTGTCTTAGTCTCGCAAGATACAGTATTGTCCTCCTTTGTCACGACTCCACGAGAGTTTATATCATCTCGGTCCCAACTTTTCCTCATTTTCTGCGTTGGAGACCGAGAATAAAACCGAGACAAAAGATAAAAGGCCGGACAAAGTGGAGACTGTGAAGTCTCTTGCACAGCTCCAGTTGAAGTTTTAACGTGTTATTGAAGCATGTTGAATCCGTGTCAAATAAAACAAATCCTCGTATTGATAAATAATAAGGATATTCAAATGTCTTTTACGCTTTGGTACAGCCCACACTAACTATAAATTCAATCATTTTCAATCATCAAATTTATCAATTAAATTGCCTGAGAAAAATTCGAAAAAAAATCATGAATATGCAGCGTCATTCAAATAACATTTTGTACAGAATTGTTACTTTTTCAAGCATTCGTTATTGATACATAAATAATTGAAATTGTTTAAACCTTCGGAAGTCTTATTTTTTTAGGCATGACTTCTGATAAAATTCTGCATATGAATAAATTTGTTACGATTCCGAGGAATTTTTATAGTGGAAAATTGATTGTTTAAATGCTCGTAATTTATGCAATTTTTAAATTATTTGATCGATCTTCTTCAAAAAAAAAACTTTCTAATTTTTTTATGATTTTTCAAATATTTTCTAATGGTTTAATATCGAGATTCAAATTCAGATTTGTAAAATTTAAATCATAAGAACATTGTAAAATGTTTGGAAACTCAGGGTCCAACGGGGCTCAAGTGATAGCTCTGAGGTTCAACTACAATAGTAGAAAAGCATTTCACTGGAAAAAAAGTGGCCAAAGTACTTGGATATCTTTAAAATCTATCATTTCTGTAATAGACAAGTCGGTTTTAGTCTCGGTTCTAGTCCGAGACCGAGACTAAAACTGAGTGGAGACGATGACGAGATAAATTCTCTCGGAGTCGCGACTAGAAGAGACAACACAGTGCCTCTCGAGACTGAAACGATACGAAAAATGTTGCTGATCTCTTAGACCGAGACGATTCCTTTAAAGTACCAACATGTTATTGAAGCATATTGAGCCCGTGTCAATAAGCCAATTTCTCGCATTGCTGGATATTAAAACCTATGACTTCCGCAGTAGACTCGTCAATAAAAACCCGAGTAAAAATAATGCACCGGATATTGGGCTGTCTCGAGGATGGAGCATCGCAGTCTTTCAAAGTTTGGCTCCGTGACGGTTTTACACCACGTCTGCTTCTAAGCTCCCTTTCTCATCGTACGGGCCACAGACTTCACTCGCGACATGGCGCGGGCACGCTATCGTGCCTTTATGCCATACACCACACGACCCCGTAGACCAAGTCCAATGAGAAGAGCGTGTGGCCTGCAAACGCCAGTTCTTTGCCCCCATTATAACCGAAGAGACGTATATTTGTTTTTCTTTTGTACATACGTACACACAAATCTCATAACCATGCAATATCAAAGCAAAACTCATTTAATTCTCCCATTCACTCTCCTGCGCTTTATCTATTCATTCTCCTCTGGATTTACAAACAAACCTCGACTATTGGTTCATTGCGAACAGAATCGAATAGACTGCAGGCACTTTTTTTGTTTACCCATTGCATTGTAAAAAGAAGAGAATCAGTACAGAAGGCAGACAGATGGAATAGTAGTGAACAGTGTCCGTTCATATTATGGCTTGGAATTCTGTGCATTTGCCAGGCGATTAGTCACGCTCACTTCTAGGGATGCAGTGTATGATGGCCATCTATCGCTTGGCTATGCTTGATTTGGATCTGCTCGGAACGAATCGCCTGTTACCCCTCGGGCGTCATCGGTTCCCTATACCTACTCAATACACTCGGCCAATCGCTGAAAAACCCATGTGACATCATGCTGATAGACGTATCGTACATATATACATATATACTCTGCGATACGTTTGACTCACACCCACTTATCAATATTCAAAAGACAAATAAGCTTTGTGTTTACTCAACAGCGAAAAAAAGCAACAGTACGAATTCTGTATTCTGAGCCTTTTCAAGTAATGGAGGAGACTCAAGCCGATATGAAAGGAAGTATCTGCACGGCAAATAAAAGCGAAAAAGAAGAAAAGATAGGAAAAGGAATAATAAAGAACGTGAGTGGAAGTGCTTTTAAATACAGGTATAAGGGCCCTGTACTCGTATCTGACAGGCTCACGAAGCCGGTCCCCCACATTATTCCCAACCACGACTGCTCGTACTATCGGGGCCTTATGCGCATGCGCACACACGTTAACATCGTGTATTTTCCGTTGGTTTTTGTACGTGTATAGTACGACCACTCTCTTTCTCACCGGGGCACACCTGAAAACAAGATATACTCGACTCACCGAGAGTTCCCGAGAGTAGGACGAACAATGCAAGGGTCCCCACGGGCCTCGCCCAGACCCATCGTCGGCGATTTTCCATCATTCCGCTGTGATTCATCTCCTTTTACTCGGATTAAATTTTTTGATGCGCTCCACAACGCACGATTGATCCAATTAAATACCAGGATTTTAATTTCAAACCTCTAGTCACCGAATTTAAACACTCGCGGATAAAACCGGATTGGGATCGGTGGCTCTCTCGATCCCACACTTTATCCACTTTTTTCATTAATTAGTATCATGATTATTCCAACTCTCATCGTCACTCTGTCCGAATAAGCACAAAACACTCCATGTACTATAAATAAATGGTAATATCCAGCACTTGTATTGAAGTAAGCCACAAAAACATGAACCGATACTTGTAACGACGCTTGAAAGGAGAGACGCGCTTTACTGAACTGAGAGAGCGGTCGCGCGCTCGGTGAAACACCAGTGAATACACGACGCTTCGCCCGCTCCCCGCCACATACGTTCAACCCGTCGCAGTACCAATGCCAGCAATCCCCACACCGTTCCGCCGCCCGCCTTTAGCTTTACAACCCCCACCACGAGTTTTCTTCCACTCCCACCATCTCTCTCTCTCGTGTCCACAAACGGATCTACGATGCTCACTATTATATGCCTCGGCACCTATACTACTCTCCATCTTTCTCAGCCTCGAAGCCTCTTTTACACCGAGAATAGCACTTGGCTGTACTGGCGCGCAAACAGCATACTCTCTGTAATCTCCCCACTACCTGGGGACGGAGGAGAACTACTTGTTGATTGTTCAGGACCGTAATGCGAAGGTTTTACCCGGGGAACACCTCAGGTATGGCGAGGTGAGTTTTCTTTTCAACCTCTGTTTCCCGTCATTTACATTTTACTCGCACAATTAATTTTTTGCTATCTGCACTGCTGAAAATTTTGCAAGGGAATGGGTAAGTCTTGGGAAGTTGTAACAAGCAACATTTGCACGGAAATTTCGAGGAATTTTGTCATTGAAAATTCATAATTTCATGGAAAATATGTGGGAACTTAAAGTTCAGTTCAATGATTTGCGGAAAATTAAGAAATTTTCTTAACATCTCCTAGAATTCCAAGAATTCTAAAGCAATTCCCTGAAAATTCAAGGGAGTTTGGCGGTGAATAATCATTTTCCCGTGAAAATTCAAGTAAATTGTGGAGTTTCATGGAAACTCCGTGAGAATTCTATAGGTAAATTAATGAATTTTCATCAGAAATCCTGGAATTCCAAGAATTCTAAAGGAATTCCCTGAAATTTTAAGGGAATTTAGCAGTGAATATTCATTTTCACGTGAAAATTCAAGTAAATTGTCAAGTTTCCTTGAATTTCCTCGTAAATTGTGAAATTGGAATTTTACTTAAATTTAAAAAATTCAAAATTTCACGAGAAATTCGTGGGAACTGTGAAGTTCAATTCAATTATTCCGGGAAAATTAATGCATTTTTTTACAAAAATTTCCTGAAAATTTAAGGGAATTTGGCAGTGAATATCCATTTTCACGCCAAAATTGAAGTAAATTGTGGAGTAATTGTAGAGTTTCCACAGACGGCGGTGGCTGTGTGGTTAGAGTGTGGGATTGGCATGCGGGAGACCCGGGTTCGATTCCCGGCTGGGGGGGCCAAAATTTGTGACACTCTAAATCTCACGGTTTCCTTGTCGAGCGGGAGTCTCGCAAGAGACAACTGTACCTGGGCAGGTTTTTCCCTCAAATGAGGTTTTCTTCCCTTGTTCTTCGGCGAATGCGATCCAGGGGGTTGGGAGGTGGGAAGGGAACAAAAATCGTAAAGACCCGAAAGGGTATACAAGAAGAAAATTTTTTAAAAAATTGTAGTTTCCTTGAATTTTCACGTTAATTGTGAAATTTGGACTTAACTTGAATTTAGAAAATTCATAATGTCATGGAAAATCCCTGGGAAATATAACATTCAGTTCAATTATTCAGGGAAAATTGATGAATTTTTTCCAAAAATCATTAAATTTCAGAAATTTTAAAGAAATTCCCGGAAAATTGAAAGGAATTTGGCGATGAATATTCATTTTTACGTGAAAATTCAAGTAAATTGTGGTTTCATGGAAAATCCGTGGGAACTGCAAAGTTTAGTTCAATTATTCCGGAAAAATTAGTGAATTTTCTCAAAAGTTCCTGGAATTCCAAGAATTCTAAAGCAAAGTAAAGCAAATTGTGGAGTTTCGTTGAATTTTCTCATAAATTGTGATATTGTGACTTGAAATTTCAGAGAAACTTGGATTTTCATTGACTTTTTTCCCATGAATCGAATTCAAGGGTTTTTTTTCGGAAAATTCCGCCAAATTTGTTTAACAGTGTGATGTGGTTTTTCTCACAGGCGATTGGAATTTTCGATTTATAAGAAAAAATATGAGGGCTGGGATTTTTATCGAGAAGTCTGGGATCACTGGTGGGTAACGAATAGGGACGAATTATTGGAAAATAGCTGTCAAGAATTTTCTAAATATTGACCGCAACTTCAACCTTAACTTTAGTCTGCCCTTCAACCCAAATTTCAATCTGGACCTCAGCCTGCATGTACAAGAGATTTTATAGAGAAACCTAGTAAATTCAACAGAAAATTCTATTGAATTTGTATCGGAAACTATTAGTTACTGGCTGATTCTATTGAAAAATCCTGCACCTCTTCTATGCGTTTCTTTTCAATAGGTTGTTCAATAGAAAATATTTTATAGAGAAAATCAATAGACGTTGATTTTTCTATAAGATATATTCTACTGGAATGCTTTCTATAGAAATTACTCAGCTCAGTTTCTTTTATTTAATTTTCGTACAGAGAGAAAAACGGAGTGTGAAATAACTTTGAAAATTGATGTCGACGAATCCCCACAGGAAATATCTCAATAGAAAAAGTTGTATAGAAAGATAAAATTCTACTGGTTTTGCTTCCGAATGGAAGCTATATAATTGTAATTTTTTTCGATTTCCTAATTTTGGGTGGAAATGCCTAGAAATGTCATGAAACGTGAAGGAATGATGTTTTTAAAAAATGTCTGTATGTATGTATGTCTGTGGTCATGTGTGTGCGTATGTCCCCAATTGCCCCCATAACTCGAGAACGGTTTGCGTAAAGAACTTGAAATTTTGGCTGCTATCTGCTACTATTGATACTCAAAACAGGGCTAAATTTCAGCTCGATCGGTTGAGCGGTTCCTGAGATACAGCAATTCTTCAAAAATCGTTTTTTGCCGATATCTCCTGAACCATTCGACCGATTCGATTTTTTTTTCAAAATACTCGTCGTGATACCTATCTAAATGGATCGAAAAAAGACCATTGCACCCAAAGCAATGTGGTTTTATTCTCGTTTTTTCATTTTTTCGCTGAAATCGCTTGTAAACATGATAACTTAAAAAATAATCGAGATAGAAACTTCAAACTTGGTAGGATTTCAGGTCTTGTGATAACAAAGTTTGGTATTTTGGATGAGTAAAATCGGACCAGTAGTTTCGGAGATATTCAGTTTTTTATGTAAAACAGTTTTGCTCAATATCTCAAAAACTATACAACCGATTTCAATTTTTTTTTTTCAAAATGTTCGTCTTGATGTCATCTATCTGCATCAATCAAAATATGTATACCCCTCTATAGAAACTTTTCAAGATATTACCGTTTTTGTATTTTTTTGGTCAGAATCCACTCTTGAACACTATAACATGGATTAAAATCAGAGAAACCTTTTGAAACATTGACTACTAGTTAGGACTGTCAAATAACATTCCTATATCCAATTTTAGGTCAATAGGTAATATATTCAATAGGTATATTTAGGTAATATATTCAATAGTTACTGAGATAGAACAATTTATCGAAGATTCTTAAGAAGAAAAGGATCAACGCATCTATATTTAACTGTTCATTTTCACTCTAGGCTGACTTAGAAAGATCATATTACATTAAAAAAAAATTTTTTTTTTTCATTTTATACACTGATAGAATGATTCATTTATTCCAAACGAGATTCGTTAACTATTAACGAATGAACATTTGATGGGACCGAACAGACCCTAACCTCCAACCAAAATTCATTCGTTAACGATAACTAATCCGTTCTATCAGTGTAGAAATAGAGAAAATGAGGTAACGGTTTTATGACCACCGCAGCCGCACGCTACTCATGTAACCACTAGTATTTCGCATATTTACTTATTCTCACTCCCTATTTATTCTAATCAACTACCTGAACATAGTCTCTGTATACATACGTATGTGGACAGAAAAGAAGAGACAAAAAATCGAAAAATTCAATAAGAATGAGGATTTAGAAAGAAGAAAATCCCATTGCAGCCAGTCGAGATTCGAACTCGGGTGTCCCAGTTACGCGACAGGGATCCTCCTAACTGAGTTACCATCAACCACCACACTTCTCCATTCCATTCGGAAGCATACTACCAATGGAATTGGTAGAAACTAAAATTGAAGAAAAAAAATTTACACAAAAAGTAACAGTCATGAGTGATCTG